TAGTAAAACATATTGTCTCAATACGGCGTACCCCCCGTATAGAGGTACCCCGGGTACAGATTTGAGAAATGAAAATATCCGGGGTACACGTGTCCGACTTTTACGGTATGTATTTCTTGAGTATATATTTAAAAATATGCATTGCTTATGATTAGATTTTTAACGATTTGTTTAATAAAAAAGTGTTTATATATCTGATAATATTTCAATTTTTTAATGACTCACCTAAATCAAGGATAACTATGCATTACGTGATAAATTGCGCCACAAATTCTCATTGCGAATTTTCATTGCAAATATTATTTGTATTTAAATCTGCAAGTGATCTTCGATTTTTTATTTTGCATCAATGTATAGATCCTGGTTTTTTGCTAAGTTAACTATATATTTTGAATTTTAAGTTTTGAATTTTAATTTGCTTTAATAAACTTTGTGGATATAAAAATCTTTGATTTATGTAAACTAGGGATGTTATCCTGCTCAAACTGATTATTTTGTGCTTAAAAACTCGTCGGAACACTGTTTCATGTAAAACCGGTTTTCGAACTCAGTTCATACAAATGTATTAATAATTAATAGTTATTTGCTGTATGCTATTTGATTGGTCGATTTTGCGCGCAAAATTCGACCAGTCAAATCATATGCCAAATAACGATAAGGTACAATAGTGTTCTAATGCTAGTAAAGCGCGATAGCGCTTTACTAGTACCGTAGTTATGAGTACTTCGTGCTTGAATATACGTGAGTTACACACGTTGTCCAGATATATTTTAAATCCGGTACAGATTAAAATAATCTGGATGTGTGTAATTCGTGTATAAATATTATATTCAAATGCCGGATAACAGTTGGTGTGGTTATTCGAACTATTTGGAGTTTTATGGGTTATAGCTCGTTTCATGGGTAAATGGCCTAAAGGTAATAGAAACTCAAGTTTACCGGTGGATGGAGAGTTTGAGAATGTTGATGATCCATATGGTGATAGTGATGATGAATTAGCAGCGGAGAAGATAAGAAATGGGAAAAATGGTAAAAAGAGGGGTATTAGTCGTAATAGGAGAGGAATACGTTATATACAAGAGTCTAAAGATGCTGCTGTTATCGGGGGGCGGCGACAATTAGAAGTGCCATAAGTATCATGAATTTATCTATACGAAAAGATCGTATAATAATGGGTGTTTTTTTTTGTTACAAATACAGTACTTTCTTTGGTTGGCATTCAAATTGTAATAATTAATATCATGTAAAATAGTTTTTTTTACTGACTGAATTAACAGAAAAAACTACCATAATTTAGATGAAATCAAATCCGAAACCAAATTCATTTGCTTTTACTCAACATCATTGTGCATATTTATCATAATAAATTTTTTTTTCAACTCAACATTCGTTACGTTATTACATTTGTAGCGGCGTTAGAAATTTTAAGTAATACAAATAGTTGTCTATCTGCTATGAATTTCTGAACTTCTGAATTTCTGAAGATGTGAATGACAGCCACTTTAATGCACTGGATTATTTACACTACATTTGTCTTTAAATTTGTGCCATCTAGATTAACTAGATTAACAAGATTAAAAGTAGACTGCATTTTCGCAGCTTCTCGTGTACTAACAATTTTTCAAATTCTTTTCACAGTTTTTTGCATAAGTACAATATCGTTATGATATACTATTGCAGGAATTACAATAATAAGATCATAGTCGATCAGTGTTATTTTTGTGATACGTATATATTAATTTATTACATAATACCCATAATTGTATATGAATGTTTTCTTACGTAGTAGATATTGAAAATAATTTTGCAAATCGTACTGAAATTACAATATTAGGGCTTTATGGTGAGTTGCTATAATTTTATTTAAACTGAAGAAATACACTAATTGATTTAGGGAAGCTCCCTCAATGTGATTCGATTAATCGATAACAATTTCACTAAAAATTCATTGTGCAAAAATACAACTTGAGTAACTTCATGAAAAAATTTGTTACCTACAGAACCAGGTTTTTCGACATAAATGGCAAGCAGACAATCAGATCATTACAGTATCGGTATGTAGTGAGGCGCTTGAGAACAGTTTAATCTATTTACCGGTTTTATCCAATTTATAAAACTCGTCTCAATATATTACTACTGTAGTTCTAATAATTTTATCAGGTAAAAAACTTGTGTAGATTATCAATGCAAATACTTATTATGTTCTAACAATTTTAAAGTTAACGTTAAAATGGTTGTTTCCAAATAAAATACCGTAAAAGTCGGACACGTATACCCCCCCATGGCGTGTACCCTCTACTAGTTTTAAGAGCTAGACGGTGACTTA